CTATTTCATGTCAAACTGGCAAGAGTTTGATCAGGTATCTGTCAAAGTTATTGTCCTTTTTGTATCATCTTCTTGTTTTGATATAATCACTTCAAATTTTGAAGACGAGAACTATCTCCAAAATTATTTCTTCATTTCTGTTTTGAGTTTGTCTAGTTACTAAAAATTACCTCGAGAAAACCTGAAGAATCAAGGATAAATTTATATGTCTGGGAGATGAATTCACAGGAAGTGCAAATTAACTTTTTAACAACAGGAAATCTTCAAGCAATTTTGGAGAGCCCATATGAGTTGCCTCATGCTTCCCGCCAGATTGAGCACACAGTGTTGGAAAGAAGAACTTCCAAGCCTCAGGATTTGCTGTCAGGAGCATCACAGTAGGACTCAGAAACAGCAGTCTCATTTCTAAAATCCCACTGCTGCAATTTTCCAGTAGGCTTTTGCTGTTCCATGTCCTGCACATGGATACCGCATGTTCCATTGTCCAATTCAGAGTAAGTAACTTAATCGCTTTCCAACTCCCCTAATTTTTCTTCCTAAATTGATTTTCTCTTTTCAAAGACCTTCCACAAGCTTTTTATTAACTAGGCAAACTCAAAATGGAAATGAAGAAATAATTTCGGACATAGTTTTTGACTTCAAAGTTTGAAGTGATTATATCAAAACAAGAAGATGATACAAAAGGGACAATAACTTTGACAGATACCTGATCAAACTCTTGCCAGTTTTTCTGGCAGTATCTAGGATAGGTACAGAATTATTATTTTGATTTTTCTGCTGGAATATTTAGGATAAAGTGAATACACAGGCAAAATTATTTCTGAAAAAAATATGCTACTTAGACACGAATGCTACAGTGTGTTGGTGAAGGGAATAAATAAAATGACGTCACCTTCATTTACAAAGTAATTTTAATTTTGAGCTTTATTCGTATTTCACTTCTAATCTTATTTCTTTACATCTTTGTGGAAGTGGAGAGAAAAGAGAGGGAAAGACAAACATCTCCATCAATAGGTCTGCATCAGGATACTCCCAGGGATGCAGAATATCACCAAAGATTTTAAGTTTCATACTGATTCAAATAATCCTTTAACAGGGGCTTGTGACCAGGGGAATTTTTTCAGTTTTACGATGTAAAAAAAGCTGGGATGGGAATTCAGGCACTTCTCTAAAATTCAGAAATCAGATTTCTGTTTCCCAGCCTGGGTCAGGCAGAAAAAGCTTTCCAGACTTTTTGCTTCATTTTGTATTCTGAAGACTCTCTTGGAAAGGCAAGTTGGTCTGTATTTTTCTTTACAATGTTTTTATAGTTGAAGAAAAATTTCTGCCACCTTTTTGAGTTTTCAAATTGTTTTTGGATTAAAAATGTTTAGTCAAGCTTCTGACCTATTCTGCAAGCTGTTTAGGCATGTGTGGGAGGATTGCATAGTATATACAATGGGGAAATTAGGTTATTTGTTTTCAGAGGCATGTGAGAAATAATAACAAAAAGTGTCTTTATACCTGAGTTCCTGGGAGAGCCAGTGGAAGCGTGAGAATTGCTGTGGGGAAGTAAATATTTAGTAATTTGTAAGTTTAATTTGGAAATATTAGACCTTCTAGTAGTGAAGACATGGAATGATACAGTCTCAGTGTTTTTACGGGAAGTATGGATCATAAAGCTAAAGAAAGAAGTACAAAATTCAGGCATAGACAAATTCAGAAATAATACCCAACTGATGGAACCTGGATAGCTGAAATGAAGAATTCTAGAATATAAACTGATAATCTAATAAATTTGGAAAGAAAAGGGAAAAGGGTTGGGTATATTTTGGCATACTAAATTTTAGAAAGCAGGACATTTTCTGAGTATCAGCTCATAAACATAGATGGAAGGATGGACTCTGGGGGAGATTAGTGGAACATGATAAAGTTAAGGAAAATGGCTTTTTTTAAATATCAGAGCACTTTCAGGATCTAAAAAAAAAAATAGAAAATTACTAACTAAAGCCTTAAAAGATACTTTTGAAACCTGACATTCCAGAGTAAACTTTACTTTTTTGCTTGGAAACTATACACTTGCTTTGAGACTAGAGTATCCCTTTTCCTTGATACAAAAGGGCATTTCTTTAATCTTTTTATGTTTCTTTGGTTTTAATGTAGAGGTGGATAAATTGATATGTACTTCATATGCTTGGGTTAATCCTCAAACACTGTATTTTTGTCCCGTTCTTATTAACTAAGAGCGTAGTATTGTAACTTGTTCATGTAATAGTTCGAACATTTTTTTTTCAACAGACATTGCTGAAAGATCCTTTGTATATTGGGCTGAGACACAAGAGAATTAGAGGTCAAGACTATGATGATCTTCTTGATGAATTCATGGAAGCTGTGACTGCAAGGTAAGCGATATATCTGTGCTACTTATTGATGAATTCCACTGTGAACTTCATCTTGAGAGAAATAAAGGTCAGTAGCTTATGAAAAGACAACAGAGTTGTTAGGTTCCAGATAATTTTTATTTTGAGCATAGTATTTTATGAGTTTACAAGTACCTTAACTATTTACCTTCAATATTTCATTCTTATGACTTACATGAGCAGTAAAATTAATCTGAATATAACTAATTTTTCAAATTTCTTTTTCAAGATTTAGATTGTTGAATATTTGCCTACTACCAACTACACTGACTGTGCCTAGTGCTGTGCCTACATGATCTTCTCTGTCTCTGTGATTTCATACATGAAATGTCAGCAGCCTTAAAGAAGCTATCATACTTTGCAACCCCTGCCTCTGCCCCCACCAAACCCATGACAGGACAAAGCTTTCAGTGCTTTAATTTTAAATGTCATGGTATGGACCTGCACCAAGTCAGCTGTTTTGCTGCTTCTCTTCTCCAATACAGAAAGTAGTTAAATTTATTATTAGACTGTGATGCATAAAATAATTCTCCTTGCATGTCAAATAACACGTTTACTCATATTTTCCTTGTTTGTTAAAATATTTGGAGTTCCAGTTTGCATTTAGTGTGTATATCTAAAAGAGCTCAACTTCCAGGTTCCTTAGAGGAATTTGTTTGCTGCATCTTACTCCCAAAGGTGAGGCTGAGCTGTGGAACCTGGAAATACTTTCCAGCTCCTCAGTCTTGCCTTTTGTCCCATCTGCACTTGAGACCTTATCTGGACATACACAACTTCTCTTCTTTCTGCATTGGTTGCTGTGCAAAAGAAACTTGGCCAAGCAGGTGGTATTAATTTCTGCGCCTGAAATGCATATTCCTTCATGTACTACTATACTCTTCTCCATCATCCCCACTGCCACTGCCTTGTTCATAATCATCAGCTTCTTATGGAAGTTGCTGGTTTGGCTCTATCCTGTTCTGTAGGTTTGCTACTCTGCTGAATATTCCCTTGCAGGTAACATTGGTGTACCTTCCTAATAGAGTCACCTCTCTAAAAGAATGTTCAGAGAATTAGAAATTGCTCTGTGGTCTGTGTTTTGAGAATCTCTAACATAATGCATTCTCTAACTCACCCTTTCTTTAAAATGAACCACTGTTCTTCATACTAAAGGAAATAATCAGAGTCAAGCAGATTATCTCAGTAATGTTTGAAGGTCTGGTTGACATGCACTTTTTACTTAAAGCTCTGTAATTTTGAGCAATTTTACTTTTTACTTTAAAGCTCTGTAATTTTGAGCAATTTTGAGCAATTTGTGTTTGCTTGACCTTCTGAAAGATCACTTTGTTCTCAGCTAAATCTATCATGGTCAGCAGTGGTTGAAGTTCATGTTTTAAGTGGATCACTTAAAAATTTTAATTCCAGCTTTGCATAGTTTACTTGTGAATTGTTTTGTCCGTAGTGTGACAACTACATTCATTATGATACCTGATTACTAAGGTGAAGTGAAAAGTGATGTAGTCAAATCAAAATCAAGTTCAATTGCTCAATAATTTGACATTTCCCTAAATTCAGATTTGTGTTTAATGTGCCACTCAGCATTTACAGCTGATTCTTCCATAGCAGGTCTAACTGTTAAACATGCAGGACATGATTCCCTTTACAATCATTGTGGTGATCTAGGCAATTGTATACTTTGCTTACATGATAGTTGTTTTTTCCTTACAAAAGTTTCTATTATATTTTTCTTTTTTTCACTTTTCTTGGCCTTCTGGTGGCTGTTTCACTGAGCAAGTATTTGCATTGCTAATCTTAGATGCACGTTTGGTCTGTTAAATTTTGTGCTACTCATATTTATTGTTAGTTATTGCCATGGTGCTCCCAAAAGAAGCTTTCTTATTTAGCACTGCCTAAACAGGTCTGGGAATGGGATAAATTCTGGTGAAATCTGCTGTCGAGGTGTTTTCAGTACATCCCCAAGACATACATAATCATGAACATTGTAAAGTATGAGGCTGTCATGTATTTTTAGTAAGTCTAAATTAAAGACAGGATGATGACAGATAGTCTTAAGTTGGAAATACCTATGTGAAATACCTGTTTTAGATCTTTTTCACCTTCATAATTCTCCAGTGTGGCCAAATGCTAACAGAAGTGAGAACCAGGTTTTAGCAGCATTGCCTGGGAGCAAGACAGAGTGGGCAGCAATATAGGGCGGTGCACTCTGTACAGGCTTTTTATTGACTTCCAGGGAATTTTCCTAGATGTCATCTTGATTGGTTGTTAAATCTTGAAAATCTAGATTTTTATAAGCTGATGCATCATAATTTATAGTGTTTCATGTTGAAATGTCACCTTTATACAGTGAGTGGCATGATAACATAGAAAATTCTTTATAAAAAGGTACATTTTCATCAACTGTAATACTTTCCTCTTCCCAGCCTCCACTGATATTTACCCCAAAAAAGTTCTTATGGAACAAAATTATTTATGAAAGAGTCAGGATTAATATTAAAAAAAAACAAAGCCAAACCAAACTGACAAAACCAAAACTTAAGCTAATCATTACTAAAAGATTTTGGTACAGTACCAGTGTGCTCTCATGCAGAATGGAACTAGTACATTATGATTTTTCCCAGATGAGAGAAGGCAGGAACATGTGGAAAGTATCTGAATTTCTGGTGATAAATATCCAGTGAACAGCTTTTATTTATTTACATATGTATACATATATCTGTTTATTTATTTATTACCAATGCCAGCAGCTACCACTCTGAGGGCAGATTCAATAATTTCTCTGAGCATTACCAAGTGATTCTTGCTTTTGTGTCAGTGCAATAATTTAGAGGAACAGGAATATTCTGAGTGGAAAGAATATTTTATGACAGGAGAAAAAAATGGACTGTTGTCTTCATCAGTGAGGAACCTAATACCAAGTGGAATTCAGAAACATTTGTTAAGTTTCTGCTCTGTGGAGAAATGGGTCATAAAACATTTTATACACACAAGTACATTTTTCCAAATGACAAGTTGTTCTTAAATATCTATGTTTACAGAGGAAACTTTGAGAGGAGGGACTGCTAAACAACACTTTTGGTAGCTGGGATTGATCCACCAAAGCTTCCTGTGTAACCAGAGAAAATAACTCTGTTTTTATTCCGGTTCCTGTTTCTTCTCTGCTTGACTGTGATGATGCAAAGAGAAATATATCAGTGGCCAAAAGGTATTCATGTACAATAGTGACAGGATTATGGAAATGAAGTTGAGAGGAAAATATGTAGAATAGAGGTGGAACAAGAAATGGAGAGGAAAAAAGCATATTTTCAATAACAGGGACTTGTATTTCCTTGTCTAATGCAAGAAGTAGATTTAAAGAGGACGGAAACTTTTTCCCTATTTCAAAGGATATTTCATTTTCACAAATCTGGTAAAGATAACACCACCCTGAACTTCTCTAAAGAATGTCAGAGTAGGGAAGAACAGCATCCTACCAGCTTGCTTTCTGCTACAGATCATCCCCAATGGAAGTCATTATACTGGGCAGGGAAAATACTAACTTGCACCTCTGGCCTATGAACAGATAGGAAAACTTAGAAAATGGAAAGAATCTGGTGGAATTTCCATAGATTATTTCCTTGCCTACCTACCACAATCTCAAAGAGTTGGATGGAATTATTACTCTGTTATGAGCTAAACCCTGTGGATTTGTGATGCATATGAGCAGCCCTGTATCACTGAAATTCTCTTTCTGTGTATGTGTGATGGTAAGTTTTCAGTTACACTACAGGATACAAATAATAGTGGTGGACCCTTGAAAAGTAATGCCATGTGTCGTTTACATTCTCTTCTGTAATGATATTTTGATTAAATCCTTCCCCACTCTTTCTATATGCTGTGTTTTTCTCAAGTTTGTGAGCTATAAACCAAGCTGCTGACAATTGTAATTCACTGTGTTCCATCCTAAATTACCATGATGTAGTCATTATTCCTCATTTGCCTATTCACAGATGGTAGCAGTATTTCATTTCTCTTCATGTACTACTTTAAAGCAGTGTTTTATGGTAAATATGGTTTAGCTAACTTTGAGAACAACTGTAAAAGCAATATATCCACAAAATCAAAATAGAAAAATATTTTAATAGCTGTTTTCATTTAGTAGATTACATTAGAATATAGTTCAATTTGTGACTAATTAATTCATACAGCCCTTACTTTTGGCAAGAGAGTGTACTGGCAGGAAGTCAACGTAAAAGGTGCATATATCTGTGCATCATTAAGGAGTGGTTGGACCACACAGTCATTCTGACAGTATGTCCAAGCACAGGTTGTGAGAGCATTGGTGCCTCTGTCCTCTTTTGCACTGTAGTGGTGCAAGACCAAGACTTAATATCATGCCTATATGTTTCCCATATTGATCGAGCTAAAGTGGCTGTCAGAAAGTGTGCAGGAAAAACGCTGCTGCAGAGATGAGAAAGATGGGTCCTTCAGCAGAAGCCCATAGGCTGCCTTGACTACAGCTACAATTGAGCTTTGAACCTACCCTCACCTCCTTCCCATGCTTACATCTGGGATTCATTTCCAGTTGTTCATGGGTTTACATTCTTCCTGAAACTACCTGGCAACTTCCTTGCCCACGTTGACTCCCAGCTGGACTTTTTTGTACTCGTGATATAAGACCATTCAGAAGGCTCCTTAGCTTGTTTGATTATTAAAAGAGTCTCTTGGACTCAAGAAACCCCACACTGTGGTTTTAAATAAGGAACTGTTTCTTTGGGTAATGGACAGTGCTGTGGAAAACTCAAACAGTTTCATAATCAGGGTTTATTTTGTTCTAATAGTTCAGGCGACTATGATGGTTTGCTTGAGGAGAATCTTCAAATTTTGTGATTAACTATGATGACTTGTAACTCATTCCACTTGCAACATTTAAATTGTCAACAGATGATGCCATCTCTAGGAAGGCTGTTAAGGAACCCTGAGCCCTTCCCCAAGCCATGGTGCTT